TTATATCACTATTCTTAATATATTATTTCCTTGGGTATTGATTTGGTTGGATTTCATTATTCTCATGTATTACTTCGGGAATATAAAATGTTCATAGCAAATCATAAAATACTCGATAACATCTTAATTCAAAATTAGTCATCAAGGCTTACTCCCAGTATAATCATTCTTTTATTTCGATACTTGTATCGGTGTTGATCCTTCAGGGAGTATGTCAAAATTTTATTGTGAATTATGGGAAATACTTACATCGGTGTTATTCCTTCGGAGAGTATATAAAAACATTATTGTTAACTTATAGAAAACCCTTCAAGGAGTGTATAAGAAATCATTGTCAACTTACAAGCTATCGATAAATGAAATATTGATTGACATCTTATAAACAACCGGTCCATTGTTCTAATATTCTATCCATCAATATTTAATATTAATATCCTTCTAGGACTACTAGTATTAAATTGAATCTTAAACATTTTGATAGATAAATACATGTGGTGAGGAAGGTCATTTTTCCTATTTTGTACCCAAAATGTGGGACAGTTAATACACATAGTTTTCAGAACTCTCTCAAAACAATAGTTTCGTGTGGGGCAACTTGGGGCATATCAAAAGTGTTTGTTCACTACGAGAAGGTATACAGTTGGAAAACAAACTAAAACAACTAGCCAACTCATCTAAAGCGTGAGATTTCATGTATAAATTATGAAATACTAACAACAAATAGCATTTGCAGCAAAAGAGTGAACACATAAAATCAGTAACTGCAACGGAAGAATATACTACAACCTAGCATGAAAAACATGGTGATTAGGAATATTATTCGAAAGAATGAGTCCCTATAAGAATTCCACTCGTAAAATACATCTAAACAGTCGGGTCAGCGTCCAACATTGTACATAGAGTCATAGACATAAAATACCACCGCTCCCCGATTTTTGTTTACAAGGAACAATCGGTAACTGTTGAATTGATAAATTCTCATTTGTTTCTGCCAAGTGACATACATTTGTGTGACCAACAACTGAATAACAAAAACGTTTAGTTTTAACTATCTTGAATTCTACCATTCAAACAGATTGCAGGCTTTCCGGGAGAGTGTTGGTGCCATGATGGGGGGATAAAAATTTTCGGCAGGCATAAAGCACGGCTGAATGGAAAGCAGCTGAATTTTCCATAAATACGAAATGTCCAGACTGCAATCATAAACGAGTAATTCTTAATCGTGCTACTGTGATTTGTTGTTAAACTAGAGAGAGAGAGAGAGAGAGAGAGAGAGAATATTAAAGCATCAAAAACTGGTCTCTACATTGGAAGACAAAACTATGTATATATTTTCCATGATGGAAAAGCCAAGCATTAGAAGCAAACCTGAGGAACTCTTATAATCTCACATGGAACTTTCATGTGCTTTCGAGCATCTAGGGCTCCTTGGTAGTTCATCCAATCATACACACCGTATATAAATGTCGTGGGCACCTTCCATTCAGATGCACTATGCCCAATACATACAACAACCGTTACTAACCAAATGCCATCACTTATGTCTCTTTTTGCATGAACAAAAGCACCTCTTTTTCTTATAATGTTTTACAAATAACACCACAAACCGATATACACACGTCAATTCATTTACCGTGAAATGTCATAAAAGAAATCATAAAAATCAGACTTTTCAGCCCAAAAGTAGGAATTTTTACCAGAAAAGTATGACCGTCAAACAATATGCCTGCTGAAGGCTTTTCTTCATATGGATACTTCCATTTAAAACATAAAATTAGCTAAATGTTCAATAAGGTGGCAAAAGCTTTGCCATCAACAATGAGATCCAAATCATCATTTACCAAAACAAACATTATTCCTCATTTAAATACAAACAAGAGCAGGTCATAACTCACCAGTGCAACAGGGGCTTTCTGGCAAAGGCTCCAAAGGAGAATATATACTTTAAGCACAACTCTCCACTAGCTTTGGCCGCCAGAGTATGATAAACATAATCTTCAGAAGCAGAAGCAGAAGCAGTTTCAGGTTAGATACATAATCAGTAATCTTGAAAATTGAAAAGTTCTAAGTAGACCTGCCTGTAAGTAATTTCGATTCTTCCTCAGTTAAAATACTCCCTTCCGAATCAGATGAGAACCTAGCACTTGTATATCTGCGGACCAGGTCAGGGCCCCATGGACCTAAACCCCTTTATTAGGATAGATAATGAATCAGTGTCCACCAAAGAAAATACATATCCAATTCACAACACAAAGCAACACTTGATAATTCATAATAAATATTATATCCACAACCTATGCTCCATACTTGGATGAGAATAGATATCAATGAATGTCAAAATCATAATATATAGAACACATGCTAGCATTTACCGTATAAAATGTACAGTTACATTAAAATGACAATATAAACAACTCAGGAAAGGTAGAACAAGCAAAAGAAGGTCTAAAAACAGGGAAACCATAAGGCAATCGATACTCCAGCATATGAACTACGACGAGTTTAAAGGAAGTAACTGGCACCTTACTAACTTCTGGGGAGTAAAGTTAGACTCCCATAGATGATTTACAATTGCACCTTTCCATGTTGCTCTAAATTGAGAAAGCCACTCAGACTTATGTTCTGTTTCTGAAGTAAATCCAGCCGGCCCAACTAAAATCAAGTGCTGAACGTGTTCGGGATGCTGCAGTGAACATAATAAATGAATGCTACCCGTTGCAGCAAAGAAATTACTTTAATCAATAAATTTCTTATCGGGAGTATATCTAGATAAAGGAAAACAGCTATTACAAATATACCTTGAGTGCATATTTAGCTGCAACATATCCTCCGAAAGAATGTCCAAGTAAAATGAAATTGCTAAGATTTTTTGCTTTACGCCATTCTTCAAAGGAATCAACGAACCATGCCTCTGTTTCTGTATAATTGATGCACACAACACAAAGAAAATTCCAAATTATTTATAACCTGAAAAAAGAAAAAGATTCATTTGAATCCAAATAGGAAACAAAAAGATTGAGGCAGTTCAATCTGAAATCCCTTTTACTCAACACAAAGACTCTTCTGTACGCATAAACAACAAACCTTCGGTGCTTTTACATGTGAAGTCAGGCCTGCTGGACCCACCCCAACTGCATGAAAGGTTGATTATTAGATGAGTCCATAAACAAACTTCAATCCTATTCAATTATTCATTTTCTCACAAGATGAATTCATTTTTTCCATCTCTCCCAAGCAAAGAATGCAAGATTAATCTGGGAAAGAGACGAAGAAGTTCACACCCTTCACTATTATTTGGTTCCTGTCTTGTTGCTTTGGGGGTTAAGGTTGAGTTTGCCAAAATATTTCCACTACTTCGACTCAATATCAAGAAAAAATGACAAAGATTTGACTAATTTCAAAAATACCCAAAACTAAACTCTCATATTCAATAGGAACAAGCATTTGATCTGGCTTACTTTCAAGAAAGAAAACATATCAAAAGACCAACCAATTTCAAAATGCTTAGAGGAAGATCTAGAACAAATCGAACGTATATATTTTCCATAATAATGTCAAATTAACATCTCAAATCAAAACTATAGCTAAAATTTCCCAGTAACATGGCCTCATAAAATATTCCAAGGGAAAATCGCACTCACCCAAGCTGATCAATTGCTATCACCTTAAAGTGTTCGGCAAGCGCATCAAAATTACGGAAAAAGAAGCCCTGCGAAGCGCCATATCCGTGAACCATCACCAAAGTCGGAGACCCCTCTTTGCCATCGAACGTCACCGTATTGATGAATCTCGGCTCGTTGCTCGCCGAACGAAACCACCGTATTTTCGAACCGGGCGGACCCGACCCGATGTTAACCCTCTCCTGCTTGTACGGTGTCCTGCGAAAATCACAATCAAAATCCGAAATAAGTAAATCCCTAACAAGCGACATCAATTAGGGCTTTATTTTTTCCCCCCCAAAAATCTATAATTTCTCAAAATCCGCATTACTTGACGAGGGAGAGCAGGCGGTTCTCGGCGGCGAGGATGTGGCCGGCGGAGGTCGGTGTCCATCGCAGGACGGAGCGCCATGTTCTGCATTTCTTCGTCGAGCTCGCGGCCGCCGGTGGACTGATTTCTTCCGCCATGTTTGAATTACAAATGTGGCGAATTTTTCTTCAACCACCTCCTCCGCGGACAAATCGGGAACTTTCCGAATCTTTTTTCGTGAGATTGAGGGTTGATTCTAATGATTTTCTTGTGGAGGAGTTATATGCATGCCGTGTGCGTGCGTGTATGTGTACGGTGAAGGTGGTGGTGAAGCTTCAGTTTTTTTTGACCAGCTGATTGGGAATGGACTTTGAAGGTGTGCATGGTCGTCGGTTCACGTTCTGGAACTGTTTTTTTCTTCAGTTTTTTTTTTTAATCTATTTCCTTTCCTTCATTTCATTTTATTTTGTTTTGACACAAAGTAATTCCGTACCAAGTTAATATGTCTACTACTTATGTGGCATGCACACATTGGTGATGTATTTTTTTAATATATTAACATTACCAATGTATGCATGTCACATAAATGATGGGTATATTAACATTATTCTTGTTTTGACTATTCAATTAGGCTTCTTGGAAATAATTGTTAAACGGAGCCCCAACTTTGGAAGTTCTATGCAACATGTAAAGCCCACCAATGAAGAAATCAAAAAGCACAATGAAGAAATCAATGGCACACCATTGAAGAAGTCTTTCACCAAACCTTCCTCTTTCACACACACCTTGTCAATGGTGGTGTGCTAATTCTTGCCTATAAATAGGCTTGTTATTTCATTCATTCAAATCATCCAAGAGTGTGATCAATCAACCCTGAGAGTGTTGAAACACAACCAAGAAAGAGTTGTGGAGTGTTTGAGAGTTTTTTGTTTAGAGTTTGTAAATCTCTTGTGTTTTTATTCTTGTGAGTAATAAAAACTTGTTTTTCTCTCAAATATGTTTATGATCTTGGGATGATACCACAACAAGTGGTATCAGAGCTTGGTTTGAAGCTTTCGAGCTTATTTTTGAATTTTTCCGAGCTTCTGTAGAAATTTTGAGTTTCTGAGTTGTGCTCGAAACTCAATTTCGAGGACACCGTTAGATTCGTCTCGTCGAGACGGTCGCGGTGATATCTTACGGGCGAAAAAAGGACACCGGAGCTGCCTCGAAAAGCCTCCGCAAGTTCTGAATCAAAAAAAAAAAATCTTGAGGAAGAAGATGATGACATGTCGCAACATCATCTGACACGTCATCGCCACGTCAGCAAGAAAGGCCCAGTTAGCAGCCCAGTGAGCTGCCACATCAGCAGTCCAGTCAGCCGCCAGGTCAGCACTCCAGTCAGCTGCCACATCAGCAAGTCAACGCCACATCATCGGTTGACCGCCACGTCATAAAAAAAAACTACCCCCTATTTTCGACTGTTCCAGACGCAACGGTGCTGTCTATTTTTCAATATTCAGCTCCGATTGGTCCCAAACAGATCATTGAAGGTGTAAAATGGCCATGGAAGAGTCAATTTCATCTTCTGGAGCTATGATTATGCTCACGGCTACCAACTATACGCTGTGGAAACCTCGGATGGAAGATTTCCTCAGCTGTAAAGAGCTCTTTGACCCAATAGAGCTGAAGGGTATTAACCCTGATCCGTCCAAGGCATTAGAATGGAAGAAAATCAATAGAAAAACTATTGGTCAAATCCAACAATGGATTGATCATATTGTCTTCCATCATGTTGCACAAGAAACCGACGCATATGTCCTTTGGAGGAAGCTGGAGGATATGTACCAGGCCAAGACCGCTCGGAATAAGGCCTTATTGATGAGGCGCTTAGTGAATATGAAGTTGAAAAGTGGAACTTCTGTTGCCGAGCATACCAGTGAGTTCCAGAGCCTGGTAAATCAGCTATCTTGTGTGGAGATGCTGCTTGGAGATGAAATGCAATCTCTGCTACTTCTTAGTTCCCTTCCTGATAGCTGGGAAACACTCGTTGTTACTCTCAGCAACTCAGCCTCAAACGGCAAACTTTCCATGTCCGTTGTCAAGGATGTCTTATTCAATGAAGAGGCAAGAAGGAAAGACATGGGCACAGATCAGACCCATGCCCTTGTGATGGAGAATCGAGGAAGACCACAAGGTAAGCAACAAAGAAGCGGTAGAGGGAAGAGCAGGGGTAGAAGCAAGGGGAGGCAATCAGATGATCGGAGATCACATGTGTGCTATCATTGTGGTCTAGAAGGTCATATGAAGAAGAATTGCTATAAATGGCTCGAGGAGCAGGGCAAGAGCAATTCTCAGCCGAAGAATAGTTCTCAGCAGAAGAACAAGGGCAAGAGTGGTGAAACTCTTATCACTGTCTCAGGTGATGTAGCATATTGCTCTAACCATGGTGAGACGTGTCTTCATGTCTCAAGAGAAGACATGGAATGGGTGGTAGATACTGCAGCATCCTATCACGTTACTCCCAACAGGAAATACTTCACAACATACCAAGCTGGAGACTTTGGATCGGTGAAGATGGGAAATTCCAGCTCCTCTCAAATTGCTGGAATTGGTGATATCCAGGCAACGACAAGAACCGAGAGTACAATCTTGTTGAAGGATGTTAGGCATGTGCCAGATCTTAGACTGAATCTTTTGTCAGTGGTGGCTCTTGACAAAGAATGATATGAAAATTACTTTGGCGCAGGCACATGGAAGTTGTCAAAGGGTGTTCTGAAAATTGCCCGAGGACAGTTTGTGGGACGCTGTACAAAACACATTTGAAGATTAGTACAGAAAGTCTCAATGTTGCAGAGAAGGCTTCCCAGGATCTATGGCACCACAGACTCGGCCATATGAGTGAGAAAGGGCTGACTACCCTGATGAAGAAGGCTCTTATCTAGGTTGATAAGAGTGCGGCGATGGGTTTTTGCAGTCATTGCCTGTTCGACAAGCAGCATAGAGTCTTATTCAATACAAGTTCAACAAAGAGATCAGAGTTGTTAAGCTTGGTACACTCTGATGTTTGCGGTCCCATGGAGGTTGAACCACTAGGTGGAAGCAGATATTTTCTAACTTTCATTGATGATGCTTCTCGAAAGTTGTGGGTATATTTCCTGAATACGAAGGACCAGGTGTTTGAGTACTTCAAGGAATTTCACGTCATGGTGGAACGTGAAACAGGAAAGAAGCTGAAATGTCTCCGATCTGATAATGGAGGCGAGTATACTTCCAAGGAGTTCGATGCATATTGTAGGACATATGGCATTCGACATGAGAAGTCAGTACCACGTACCCCTCAACACAACGATGTTGCTGAAAGAATGAATCGGACTATCATGGAGCGTGTCCGAAGCATGATGAATATGGCTAAATTACCAAAGCCATTTTGGGGAGAAGCTGTCAAGACCGCATGTTATCTGATCAACCGATCACCTTCAGTTCCATTAAATTTTGAAGTTCCAGAGAGAATATGGACTTGTAAGAATCCGACATACTCACATCTCAGAGTATTTGGTTGTGTAGCATATGCACATGTATCCAAATAGCTCAGAAAGAAGCTCGATGCGAGGTCAATACCATGCATTTTTATTGGTTATGGAGATGAAGAGTTTGGATACAGATTTTGAGATCCAAAGGAGAAAAAGGTGATCAGAAGTAGGGACGTTGTGTTCCAAGAAAATTTGACAATAGAAGATATCGAAAAGCCCAAGATGTCTCAGAAGTCAAATGTGG